GTGAATCCCAACCTCCCTCCCCCTCCCCCTCTCCCACCCCCCGGGTTTCAGAGCCCAAGCTCTTACCCAGGGGCTGTAACCGTAGATTGTTTCTTTGCACTTAGTCGGTTTCTGGTTTCGTTAGTTCGGCCAGATGATTGATTCCCTCTGGTGATTTAAAGCTGCTTCCTGTGTCGCACAGGAGCATCCTTTTAATCTAGTAATTGGAGGCTCCGCTGGACTCTTCCCTCCATTCTAAGTCACTTTAGTGAGCTACTGTCAGTATTTGGCTTCCCCCCACCTGAGCTGCTGTAGGCTTGTGCTTCGTAGAATCCTAGAGCTGGAAGAGACCTCAGGAGTCAAGTCCAGCCCCCTGCCCAAGGCAGGACCAATCCCAACTCAATCAACCCAGCCAGGGCTTTGTCAAGCTGAGACTTAAAAACCTCTTGGGATGGAGATTCCACCCTCCTAGTGAAAGAGTTTTTCCTAATATCCAACCTAGACCTCCCCCACTGCAACTTGAGACTGTTGCTCCTTGTTCAGCCGTCTGGCACAACTGAGAACAGCCTCTCTCCATCCTCTTTGGAACCCCCCTTCAGGAAGTTGAAGGCTGCTCTCAAATCCCCCCTCGCTCTTCTCTTCTGCAGACTAAACAAACCCAGATCCCTCAGCCTCTCCTCGTAAGCCATGTGCTCCAGCCCCCTCATCATTGTGGTTGCCCTCCACTGGACCCTCTCCAATGCGTCCACACCCTTTCTATAGTGAGGGCCATTAAACGGGACTTCATAAAATAAGAAACACTAGTCATGCCCTCCCCGCTTCCCCTTTGAAGATTCACTGGGGCTCGTGCACCCAGACTGCGGAAGGAGCCAAAAGGTTGGGTCCGTTAGAATCCTAGAACACTAGAACTGGAAGGGACCTCGAGATCATCAAGTCCAGTCCCCTGGGTGTGGGTCCGCTGAAAATCTCAGGTATGCAGCCCAAGGCTGTTGATTTCCTGATCTTATAATCCTTTTTGCGAGAGCTCATTTGCTTGCAGGGATTAAAATGTATCAGGAGAGAGCGAGAGAGACTGGGAGGGGGGAAAAGGGTGTTAATTGTGCACCAGGAGGCGTATGTGACTCTTATATAAGGTTGCAGGCACCGTGTGGAGGTTCAGTGTGTGTTCGCCTAAGGATTGCAAAGCTTTCTCCAGGCATTTAATTAAACTCGCAAAATCCCTGAGAAACAGGTATTATTATTGCCACTTCAGCTGTATAAACAGAATTGCAGCAAATGTCACCTAGGAGCTGTGCTTCAGTTCTGGCGTATTTTTAAATATATATGCTGCCGTGGCAAGAAAAAACGACGACAAAACCAGGCATGTAGAAATGAGCTTTCTGGGAAGTGAAACAGGCTCCGAAGGAGTGTTGGTGCTTCCTGCTCTTGCAGGTTTTACCCAGAGGTCGGCGGAAGATGTCAAACCGTGAGGCATGGTCATGGTGTGGGAATCACTGGATAAAGTTCTGTGGCCTGGGATATGAGATGAGACTAGATCACTGTAACAGTCCCTTCTGGCCTTCAGTATCTATGGAAGTGTTCGCACAGTGCGAGGGCCTTTGGCAGCGGCTGGTGACAGACGCCTGTGGGCGAGGTTAAGCCCCGAGTTCCTTCTGTGCAGTTCTGTGGGTGTCTGTGGCGTTTTGGGGTACATGAGGTTTGACAAATGGGTCAGCGTCCATTCTCCTCTCTGGTTAAATGGCGCCTTTGCTTATTAACCATGAAAGGGTTTGTCAAAAGCGTACTCCTAAGTTGTCGTTTCATGCGTGCTTGTGAATGGATCCAGTCTCCCGGGTTTCTCTTAGTCCCCTGCCCCAGAGACCTTGCAGTCTGCCCCCTACAGAACATCTGTCTGCCTCTTTCTCAGGTTTCATTAAATGCCTGGTTCTGGTCGATGGTCTTCCACACAAGGGACACCGATGTAACTGAGGTGAGTGCTACCCTGCTGTAGGAGCTTTGCGTGCCTTCGCAGGTGAGGGTCTGCGATTTACTCTGCTTCTCCACTCCCTGAAATCTACAAGGCAAACCCTGGGTGTACATGGGTTCGGTGTCTGCTGAGATATGGCTGAAGGGGGGTTGCCTTTACCCCCATAATGTTTAAAGATGCCCCTGTACTGCTGGTGTGAAATTAGAGGGGCTACAGAAGGGATCTGGTGAATCGGTCGGACCCATTCTGTCCAACAGCCGTGAGCGGAGTGAGCGCCCTCTGTGATGTGAGAGAAACCTGTGAAAATGTGACTGTAAAAACCACTTGACGCTACCTATGCTGGGATTGTCAGCTCTTTGGTCTGTGTTTGTCTAGCATCTAGCACGCTGGAGTCCGGGGCTAGGAGGGAAGCTGCCAGATGCAACTGCCAGACCAACACCAGAAACGGGCAGCCAGTTGTGGCGGGGACTAGCTGGCTGCATTTCTTCTTGGACCCCGTTGTGTCCCGTCTGGCTAGGCCCTGATCCAGCAAGGCGCTTAGGCGTGTGAAGCTAATGGTTCTACACTTGAACCTCCGTACTCCGGGTGTCCCTAATCCCAGCACACCCGTGGTACGGACCCTGGCAGGCGGAGGCGGAAGTGGTTTGGTGCGCTGTTGCTCCCTTCCCCCTAATGTCCCTGAGGCTTTTCCCTGCCCCTCCCATAGCGGCAGGGGATGGTGCCTGAGAGCAGCGGGGTGCACAGAGCCTCATGTGCCCCGGGGACCACTGACTTCTGCCCATCAGGATTGACTAGGTTAGAGAGAAGCGTAAATCTACTCTTCCCGGTTGCTATTAGCTCAGCAGTATGGCCCATTTATCTCCCTGCCTCCCATCGATGTCTGGGCTGTCCCTTGCCCTTCTACCGCTGACCTAACCAAGCCTCTCGTCCCACAGAAACTGGATTACTTCTGCGCCTCCACCGTCATCCTGCACTCCATCTACCTGTGCTGCGTCAGGTGAGCTTTGCCCCTCCCTGAGATAATTGGCGTCTCTCTGCCCGCCCACCTACAGAGTTGGCTGGCCGCCCTGCAGCTAGATATGCCATAATCTGGTCTTTACTTTCCTCCTTCCCTCTTTGTGTGAGAACCTGGCTGCTGCTTTGTTTAGCCAAGGAGCTGGGGAGGGCCCTGTCTGCGCACACAGAGGGAACGGTGTCTCCTTCTGAGAAGGAACATCATCATTGCTGCTTCCTCGCATTCAGAGAGACCTGTCGTAGAATGGTAGGACCGGAAGGGACTTCGAGAGGTCGTCTCCCCCAGTCCCCTGCCCTCACGGCCAGACTAAGGATTATCTAGAGACCATGCCAGAGTGGGGGTGTGGCCTCTCTAGGGTTAGCCACTCCAGGAACAGAAGGCACCATCTGTATGTGCCAGGGAGGTTTGTGTTCTGCTGAAGAGGGCAGCTCGGGTGCCAGGTCTTGAGGCTTCTTATTGCAGTCCAAAGCTCTCAGCTACGCTACAGTTTACGAAGCAAGCCCTGGCGCAGAGTCAGGTATGGAGAGACACTGGCGTATCTGGGGCAGCAAAGTGAGCTGGGAGAGCCGTAGGCATTAAGAGGCAGGAAGACCTTCGAGCAGTGTTCCCTCTAACATTTTCCGTCCTTGGGCCGGTTGAAATTTCTTATGTGCACCATCAATATTGAGGTGGTTGTGTGTGTGTGTGGCTGTGCACCACCAATACAAACAAAACTTGTGCACAGAATTGTAAGCAGTCCACGTGTGTGGAAGAAAATATATTCAAACAAGGGATATTTAACACAGAGCAATGCATATGCTATATAATATGAAATTAAATAAAAAAGAAAAAGAACACTATCCTTGGAGTACATGTATCAACTTTTCTAACAGCTCAAGCTGGTACTTGCTATTTCTGACCCGTAAGAGTCAGAACTCTACCAAATAGCCAAGATCTGGCCTTAATGCAATACAATACAAAAATCGTGAAGTTCAGAGTTTGAGATCTCTGCAACACTCCCCAAACCATTCTGTGAAAAGAATCCTTTTCTTTCGTATCTTAAGCCATTAACTCCCATGTAAACTTTGTTTGAAATGCAGCCACACACACTTCCCTTGCTGCCTGTTCCCCCGCCTCAAGCCTATCAGAGAGGACTGTAGCGAGTCAGACACCCCAAACAAGCTGTTCCTGCCTCCACCTCACTGCACAGATGCCAGCACCCACCCACCCTTTCTTTCCTCCCCCTACCCCATGCAGCCAGCCCCTTATCTTCCCCTTCACAGGAGGCTTGAGAGTGCTGAGTTTCTGCCTGCCTCTCCTGCTGCAGAGGGACACTCTAAACTCCCCTCTGACGCCCCATCAGCCAATTAATTAATTAATTACTTCCTCCCTGCCTCCCCACTCCCCCTCCCCCTCTAATTGTCTCCTTATCTGGAGCTCCTCAATTCAGGCAGGTAGCTAGCTCTGTTTAGCTGCTTACTCAGTGAGATGTCCCTCCGCTTGCAAATCAGCTGAGCTCCCTGCCCACGCGGGACCTTTGAACTTCTGAGCAGGCGCGCAGCTTACAGGGAACCTTGCCTGTGAGTTCCCTAAACCCCGTGAACCATCCTCTGCCGGGGGTTGTGTCAGATGCTAACCTGCTTCTAGACTTCTGAGAATATCAAGTCAGAAGGAACCTTTGGGTCTGACCTCGTGGGTGGCCCTGGCCACTAAATTCCCCCCGGGCCCTAGCCGGAGCTCGGTGGATGCCACAGGGAGATGCCATCAAGGCCCTGGGGCTGCGTGTGGGTTTTAATTTCTCCTCCCTCTCTCTGACGCATCAAGCCTGGCAGTGCCTGGAGATGGTGTGGGGGTGTTCCAGGGTTCTGAGCTCTCTCTCTCTCTCTCTCTGTTTCTCTCTCTCGGGCTAGGCTGGCTGGTTTTTGCTCACATTTCGGGGTCCAAATGGTGGGGGGAAAAATTGGTTGAGCCAAAACAAAACAAAACAAAACAACCCCAGAGACCCCCAAAAAGTCACTGTGCCTATACATTCCTGCGCTCCCTGCCCCCGCCAGACACGGCTGGAGAAAAATGTCTCCCCGGCCTTCCGTCCGAGAAAAAACAGAAAATACCAGACATTTTACATATGTCCTGGGGTTCCGAGAAAAAACAGAAAATACCAGACATTTTACATATATCCTGGGGTTTGTTTTTTTTTACTGGACAGAAGACGCGATTACCGGCCTGTCCAGGTGAAAACCAGACACCTGGCAACCCCAGTAAACATGCGAGGTGATGCAAGCTGCAGCAACTGGGGCAAAGCTTTTGGGGCATCCTGCGGGAGCTGTATAAGCCGCTGGAGTTTGCGAGCTTCTCTGCCTTGTTTTGGTTTCCATTGTAGGACCCTGGGTCTGAAACGTCCAGCCTTTGCCAATGCTTTTGGGGGTTTTCTGATCCTCTGCCTGGCCTGCCACGTCTCCTACCTCACGCTCGTGCGCTTTGACTACGGCTACAACATGGCCGCAAACGTGGTGATCGGTAAGGCCGGGGGGGAGGCAGCTTTTGGTTGGGGCCTTGGTTGCCGCGGGGACGGGACTGGGAAGGAACACGGGCCGTGGCACTGGGTGTGGTTCCCACGCAGCCTGGACTTGGGAGCTGCTTGGCGTTCGGTGTCGCCCCACGGGCGGGATGTGGCCGCTGGCGAGAGTCTGTCTCTGGGGTCTCCTCGCTGTTGCGCTGCTCCTGCGTGCTGAGGAAAGAGGGGCTGCTCCGTGCCCGGGGACTTGGGGCGTTCGTTGTCTCTCTAGCACGTGCTGGGGGGGCTCCTCAGAGTGCAGCAGTGTGCGTGGCTGGTGATTTCACCAGCACAGTCCCGACGCGGCGCTAGCCCAAAGGGCCATCTAGCCGGTGTCCTGTTGTCCGACAGCGGCCAATGCCAGGTGCTCCCAAAGGAGTGAGCAGAGCAGGGAATCGTCGAGTGGTTCTCCCCGTCAGTCGCCCGTTCCCGGCTTCTGACAACTCGCCTGCCAGGCTGTAGTTCTGGTGTTGCAGCGTCGGCCTGGCCATTCTGCCCCGGTGCCTCGTTCCCCGCTGCCCCCAGCTCTCGGGTTTATCGCGAGTCTCGTGTTCCTTGGAGCCCGCCCTCCTGGACTTGTGCGCATCAGTTTTCACCGCGTTTCACGGGGGCACTCGGCAGCCCTCGCGGCCTTGGGCAACGTGGCCTTTGGTCCCTCGTAAAGATTCGCACCCAGGAAGGCCGCTAACAGGCAGCGTGGGCTGCAGGGGGCTCAGAGGCGGATGCTGCGCAGCAGGAGGCTGGGAGCCACACGGGCCCTTCCCCTAGCCACACCAGGGGTCGCCACACCAGGGGTCAGCTCTGTGCCCCTGCAGGGTCCTGAGGCAGGGCCCCGAGTGCGTGGCAGGGCACGGCTGAGACACCTGCTCTGGATGTGGGGGACAAACCGAGACGAGCAAAGCGACGAGGAACTGATCGGCAGGCAGCCTGCTAAGTCCATGGAGGCTGATGTGCACTTACAGGGCCCGGTCGCTACGGGCAGGTAGTGCCCTTGGGCTGGCAGAGGACAGAAACCCCTCCCAACAGGGCGAGCTCAGCCTTTGGGGAAGCGGGGGGAGGGTCATTGGCCAGCCCCGGAGGGGCCTGATCCTGGATTGTGGGCTCGGTAGGAGGAACCGAGTGCACGGGGAGAGGAGGCTCCAGGGGACGGGTGAGGGGGAGGAGCCGTGCGGCTCTGGAGTGGCGGAGGTGAGCCGTAACCCCCGGCCCAGCCCAAAGAGCGAGTCCTGCCTCTGACCACCGGCTCCTCCTGCCTTCCAGGCCTCCTCAACCTCTTCTGGTGGCTCTGCTGGTGCCTGCAGAACCAGCAGCGTCTCCCGTACGTGCGGAAGTGCATGGCGGTGGTGCTGCTCCTCCAGGCCCTGGCGCTGCTCGAGCTCCTGGACTTCCCGCCCCTCTTCTGGATCCTGGACGCCCACGCCCTGTGGCACCTCAGCACCATTCCCGTCAACGTCCTCTTCTACAGGTCAGCCTCGCGCCCGGGCACTGCGATTCCTTCCCGGGCAGATCCCCGGCTTGGAGCCAGGCCTGGAACGGCCCCAGCGGCGCGCAGACCGTGCAGGCCAGGTGATCCCGGCTTACGCCGCCGGGCGGCCGTCCCTCCAGCCCCGTCTCGGGATGCCGAATCCCATTTAACTCACTAACCGATAAAACGGTTTAAGTGTCGCCACGTAGCTGATTAAACGGGGGCGGGTAAGGGGGCTGCCAGCTCCTGGCCCCGTGCAGAAGGGGCAGCCCTGTGTGGGGGCCTGGCAGGGGCGGGGCAGCTTTCTGCCCACAGCTGGAGGCTGCTCCCCGGGTGACCGTTACCCGGCAACGTGCATCACCCTTACCAGGCGATGCTTACCGTCCCTAACCCGGCCTCGCCAGCCTGACAAGCTTGGGGGAGGCAGGCCTAGAAAGGTAGGAGGCGCTCTCCCTTCCAAGTGGGGCTGTCTCTAGCCTTCGGCATCTCAGCACGGAGCCGGTTCATAGGCGGGTTCTACCCAAATGGGAGCACAGCCCGGACAGCTGTCTCTTACGACCCACCGACTCTGAAAGCAGGGAGGAAGGGTGAGCGTGGGCATAGGCTGCTGGCCGGGGACTCCGGAGACCACAGCCTCCCTGTCTGATCTTGGACAAGTCACTTCGTAACTCCGTGCCTCAGTTTCCCTACCTGTACCATGGGCATAACGCCACAGGAGTAAATGCGTTAACAAGTCTGAGATGCGTAGGTGCTAGGAACAGGGGCCATACAAATACCCAGACAGCGCCCGGGCTCCCTCCGCATGGGCGTCCCACCAGCCCGCCTCACCTAACCCGGTACCCGCGCAGGGAAAGCCACCGGTGCGGAGCCGGGTGTGTCGGCAGCATGGCACCAAACGCGGGGCCGGGACTCGGAGCCGGGGATGTTTTCAGAGGGAGGAAATGTCCCGTGCGCTCGTTACGGTGAACGCGCTAATGGGGCGTGAGCAGTTGGGACTAATCGTGCGCCCGGTGCCCTTTAGCGCGTTGCTGGCTGGCAGCCAGGCCTAGCCGCCTCTCCTGACGGGCGCTCCCTACTGCCCCAGGACGTGCCAGGCAGGCCTGGGGGGGGGGGGGGGGTGCTGGGGGTTGAGTCCGTTTGTGTAGGGATCACATCTCTTCCCCCCACCCCACTCCCCTCAGCTCCAGACTGCCGCTCTAGCCCGCCCGCGGAGGAGATGCTGCCCATTCCCAAAGCTCCCCCCAGGCCTCTCTGGGGCCCTGCCTGCTGCCGGAACCCCCCCTTCTCCTTGCATCTTCTGATCTGAGTGACACGCAGTCAGTGCCAGACTCTAGGGTGGGCCAAAGCGCGGGGGATTTCGGCTCGGTGCCCAGGCTGCCGTAGCGCTGACTTCCAGCCGCCGAGGAGCGGGCCCCCGCTAGCTCCGCTGCCGGCTGGAGCTGGTGACTTTCAGACGGGATAATCTGCTGGCTCTTTCTGCCCTGGTCCGGATTTCCTACCCAAAAGTCCCAGCCCTTGTGAAAGCAGCCCCAGCTGGCTGCAGCGTTCTCCCAGGAATGACCTGGGCTCCAACCGGGCATCCAGCCGTGGCTAGGACCCAGCGCCTCACGCCGCTCTCGCTCTCCTTGCAGCTTCCTCCGTGACGACAGCCTGTACCTCTTGAAGGTGAACTCGGCCGTTATGAAAATGGACTGAAGCGGTTCGGGGGAGGCCTGCCCGTGCAGAGGCGGTAACCCCTCCCTGGTGGAAACTGTCCCTTGAGACTTTCCGAGCGCCGCTCCCAGCCGCGCTCTGGGTCGTCCGCGGCCTGAGGAACAGCGATGCCGGGCGCTTTCCGTGAGTCCAGTCCAGAATCCGGCCGTGCCAAGACCCGCTCTCTCCGCCTTCCCCTCCGGGGTGCGCCGAATCCTGGAGCAACATTCCCCCACCTTCCTTTTCTTTCCTCTTTTTTTTTGCCTTCAGAAGTTTTAATTCTCATCCCATGACTCGTTCCATTAGAGCATCCGTGATCCATCTCGCCCCCGCACGCCCCCGCACGCTCTGCAGTTACTGCTGCTCTGTGCTCCCGGGCCACGTGGTGCCTTTCCGTTTCCACTGTTACGAAATCTGTGTGAGTCGCCGCGTGCCGAGGGATTTCAGACCAAGTGGGAAACGTGGGTGAGCCAGCCCGGGGGGGGTCGATGGGAAGACGTTGTGA